TCATTTGGTGCTTGCTTCATGTATCGCCCTCTTAAATGCCCCACTGCTTCCAAGCACTTGTTAAAGTATTTTGAAACGGTTTCCCCCGATCTTATGAAATGTGACCTAACAATTCTATTTTTTGTTTTATGGCCCAATATATTAAGGAACATGAGCAATTGCTCTTCTACTTTAACATCACGTGAATCTTGTAGTAGGCCGGTATATCTCATTATGCTAACAAGCTTTTCAAATGCGTGTGGCCTCATTCTAACATAAGACCTACAACTCTCGTTGAAGCCATTGAACACACGACTTATGTGCCTAGCTCTAGAAACTATCTTCTCTTTTTGGCCTGTGTTAGGATGATAACTGATTGATTTCCTTCGACTACGTCTCCTCATTAAACAAGCAAACACACAAATGACCGCAGACATAGTGGCATTAGAAGCCATCCTCACTAGCATTTCTTCACCAATATCGTCCATCTACATGGAAGTTCAATATAGACGTTCAACTTGATTTTCACCTAAATTAAAACACGCAAAAAAGTAGTCGTAATAAAAAAAATATCTAAAACGTGAGCATAAGTAACTTTTGATGTCAAGAACAAGTCAATGCATACCTATTCAAATGAAGTGATTTTGTTTAATACTAAATATTTTGCTTGAATTTTTTAGTACAAATTCATTGTCAAAATCAAGTGTGTCAATAATGCAAATTTATACCCATACGCATGCCTGAGTTCTATTAATACAAGATGACATCTTTAAATCAACACATGAGTTTCCTTAATATTATATACATCATTTACAGGTTTCAAAATCTAGTATCAAATTTTTTTAAATAATCTATGTAAATTGTGAACTCAAAAGTCAAACCAAATACAAAGGCTTATAATCAGTCTAAACCCAACTGAACTCAAATCAATTTCACAAATTGTCGGCATATCACTAACAATGAACTGAATAATTTAACAAGCCAACCCAAACAATTCCAGCAACAAAGTTCAGACCTCAAGTATTTCGGCACCCAACTGATGCAGTTCTAATTTCACAAAAACCCCCAAATCAAGTATTTCGAAACCCTAATTTTGAAGGCAAAGGGAGGAGATATACCTGCGTGGTCGGAGAGAGGATCAGTTGGAACCCTAAATTAGCAAGTGAGGTAGCCTTAGAAACCCCAAACCAATTTTAGCAAGTGAGGAAGGCTCAGCAAGTGAGAATAGCCCAAAGCAGCAAGCACTACCACTGAGGACGGCAGATGGAGTCCGGCGACGTTGAACAGACGATTAGGAGCGTCGTGGCAGCGGACCAAGAGGGAAACGAGGCCTAAGGGTTTTCGCAGCGTTAAAAGGAGGGCAACAGAAGGCCTAGGGTTTTCGCGCCGCAAGAATGAAACGGCAGGGGGTGAATGGTATCGGTCAGTTTCTGGCCTTCAACGGGAGTGGAGGACTGCTTGAAGGTGGACAGGTTTTGTCAGACTCGCAAACGAAATCCCAACTCAAAGCATAGGAGTGGGACAATGCTAAAACTTGTCAGATTACTTCGAATCTTGTTAAGAATTTCATATCACAAGAATTTTTTTTGAAACAGACACTGTTTTTGAATCCCATAACTCAAAAAAACCCATTTTGACATCCTAGAATTTGTAATCCCAAAAAAAAAGCTGAAAACAAACACCGCCCTATAACATGAAGTATATGTTTTTTATTATAATGTGGAAGGGAGGTGATGCAATGAAATAGGAACAAAGAAAAAAAATAAAGAAAAACATGTCGTGTAATGAATCTCACTAGTGCATGGATCATAGGCAGACACCATTTAAAGTAGGAGGTAAATGGCTTAAAATAAATTAACCAGTGCTGGACTGCTAGCTGTGATCTAAATTAAGGGGAAACTTTCACGATAGGCTCAAGATAGACATCCTAGCTTAAAAATATAGGGGGGGGGGGGGGGGGGGGGCGGTTCGAAGGGTTAATGAATTGTCCACGTGACGCCTGCCCATAAGTCACCCTTCTTTCAAAAGCTTCGTATAATTTATTACAGCGAAGAATCAAAACACAGACCAAGTCTTTTCAAAAAAAAAAAAAAAAACACAGACCAAGTTTACAAACAAAATAATAGCTACCGTTTTAATTAATTTTGCTTTCGGCTAATCATGAACCTTGTTCATAAAGCAAGGACCGTGCTACTTCATAATAGGTTGGAGAACTAAGATTATTTAACTTAAAAAAAATTTATTGTTTTTGTAGGGCATTACTATTGATTAATTAATAGCACTCTAGTGTTGTCTCCTGAATTAGGGGGGTGCTGTTGTGTATCCTGGTGTAGTTTTGATTGTGTTTATAGTGCTAAACTACAATTAATTAAGTAAGCAAATGCCTTAGGAATGGAGTTTTCTTTAATTTTTTCCTCAACCCCATAATCTTACTATTTAATTGACAACTATAATAATTTATTTTAAATGAAGATAATATTAGTGTAACTCAATATAGAGTGACAATAATCATAATTGAAATAATTCATGACCGTTTTGGATGTGATTCGGTAATTATGATTGAAAAAGCGATCTCATAGGAGAAGAATTCAAATATTTTCCATGAGAAATAATAATGTTATAAGAGAGTGAGAACAGTGACATAATTTCAAATGAGAGGTTCACTTCATTTGCTTGAAGAGAGTCTAAATAATAACAGAATAGGTTAGTTTTCAGCAAAAAGATATATACTTCAATTGCTTAATAAAACTGATCTTGCTCTATTATTTTTTGTACTTCAATGGTCAACTTGCGGAGCATTTGATGGGCTCAACCTCTTCGTCTTGTACTGTTATAACTTTTTGGGCTGGGCTCCATAACTTAGTGGGCTTCCTTGGTTCACATGAAATTCTAGTTCCCTTTTTTTTCAGAAATAATTCCTGCCACTTTTTTTAAAAAATAAATAAATTTGTTTTAAGGTCAATCTCATAATACCTCTAAGAAATAATAAGATTTAATCATGGATAGTACTTAAAAGCCATGGAATTCAAAGATTTTTGGTAAAAGTGAGTGGTTGATTAGGGTTCACATGCCCCTACTACCCTAATAAAGCACAAATGCACAAAGTTCTTCAATAATTTAATAAAAAGTTAACCATCACTATTAGTAGCATATCCTGGATTTAGTGCTTTAATTATATCTTATCCTGGTCCCATTCCACATCTAATCACCATATTTATGGGGATAATGCGAACAAAGTCTTCAATCGCATAAAAAGAGAAACTAAAAAATGAAAATAGAGGGAACATTTCGACTACATAGATATTGAATTGACCTCGTAATTAGAGCTCTATTCAATAGTGGGCCTTGTAATTTGTACGTGAAACAAGCATTCTGCATTAGATTTTGCGGGGTGTTTATTTGATGGGTGATTTGGGCTGAAGACCCATTTATTGTTTTCATTAGTTTTGAACTTTCGATATTAATAATAAGGCCCAACACATTCTGCACATTGAAGCCTAAAAACAAAAAGAAAGGTCGCAATGTTTATTTGTTAATTAATATATTCTGAGAAGATGCTATTTTTATTTTTGGCTTAATATTTTGTGATATTTTTTTAAAGAAAAATGGCTTAAAGTAGTTTTGTTTACAACTCTTAATAATAGGCCATGTAGTTTTGGAAGATTTACCCTAAAGATTAAAGATATCTTTCTTGTTAGAATTAATCTACAAAATTTTTATTTGACGTGGGGAAATTGACCATTACTATTTATCTTTAAGTAAATTTTACAAAACATAAGCATTTTGTTCAAAAGCCTTATAAGCTATTTTTAATGGCAAAAAAAATATGACGTGCTTTCAAATTGCTCTAGAAATATTAAATACTATCAGCTTTAGATAGTACTTAAATTCCCTCGTGACCTTGTAGATCATCTGACAATAAAATGATCTTATCTGAAAATTGATGGTAACATTATGTTTTCATGGTAACATAACCAAAGATATACGATATTTAAGTTGCAGATAATTCCTCAATAGTTTATGATAATGTTTTTTTGAATTGAAAGGTTCTGATATTTTTCTTTACTTTAAAATTATGATACATTATTGTTAGGTTTCTCCGATTTTAGCCTCTTAAATGTTTAATATTTTGAAATCAATCCCTCAAATCATTGAAATTGTCATTCTCCAATTCTTATAGGTTATCTCAAATTTAGTTCCACAATTAACTCAAATTGCCATTAGATCCCTCACTTTTTGTGAGCTGTTTCAAATCAATCCGTCCATTTAGAATTGAGGGAGCTGCTAGAATTTTCAGTGGCTCGACTCTCAAGGGACTACACCTATCAGATATTAAACCTTTGAGAGCGTAATAGCAAAAGAGTAGTGCTACAGGGACCCCAAAATAGGGGACCCCTGAGAGGACATGTGAGGTGTCAGTCCCTGGGGGGCTGATTTACTGTTCATGAACAGTAAATCAGCCCCCCCTGTTTGGTTGTTGTTGGTAAAGTTGTGTTTTTATGACACAACTTGGAAAGTTGTTGTCCACCTCATCAATTTCACTTTTATACTTTTCTTTGTTTGTTTTTGATTCCATTGGAATAATAAAACACTTGTTTGGTTTGCAAAATAAAACTTTAATTGTTTGTTTGGAAAGTGTAAAAATTGGTCCCTACTCAAATGATCATATTGGTTGGAATTATTTTTTATTATTTTTTCCTAACTTCAATGTTAGCTTTCTCCTAAAATCATGTCTTTTTTTCATGAAATCACTTTACAAGCCACATCAGCATATGAAATCACTTTACACTATTTTCACAACTACAAACAAACAATTGAAAGTGATGAAAGCTGACATTAGGACCCACTTTTTTTACACTTTACATCCTTTTACATGGTAAAAACATACAACCAAACAGCCCCTTATTTTGGGGTCCCTGCGGAGTTTTCCATAGCAAAATAACCTTTTTTATTTATGCAAAATCCAGAATTGTTAGTTTGTGAATTTTACAGTTTGCACCAGTTACCGTGAAATCAGGGTGAATCAATCAAATCGATAACCTAATGTCAAGTAGTACCAGTCCTCCGCCGCCGCCGCCGCCAAACGCGATGATGGGTTCGTCGCTCCGCCCAGTGACGTTCGTCACCGGCAACGCGAAGAAGCTCGAAGAAGTTCGGGCGATCCTGGGCAACTCAATCCCCTTCAAATCCCTCAAACTTGAACGTAAAGCTCTCACCTTTATCTCTACTTTTTGCCCTAATCAACCCACATAGATCAAATGAAAGATTGCATACTTGCTTGACGAAACCCCAATTTGTACTTGTTCGTGTTTTTTTTACGAAGCCCTAACGCTTATAGTTGCAAGGGTTGAAAAATGACATTTTTAGCTCAAAGCATCTAGGTTTAACTTTGGCTGAACTGGGTCATTTTGTCCGGAGGCCTATGTATTTGATGAAATGAGAAGATTGCTGATCATTTATGGATAGGGTGAGGTAATCAGACTTTGGAAATTAAGCGCAAATTATAACATCACCTATTTCAGTTGATTTTCTTTCGCCTCGAACACGGAATATATCTTTATATACACTTGTTAAAAGATTTGGTATTCCCAAATAATGCATTTAGACTTGTCTTGTTGAACTCTGCAAAATCATTTTATTGTTTTTTGTTCTCAAAGTTCTTGCGCTGTTTAATGAAATAGTCCATACCATTAAGAACCTAGTAATTTTTTTTTTAAAATTGCTAATAAATAAAAAATAATAATAATTGGTGTTGTAATCTACATTTCAGTTTCTACGATTTATATGAAGCCCATTTTCACTCCTCCGAAGCCTTGCCATTATTTGCTCTCACCATGCCCTAACCATCTCAAGGGCCAATCTCTAACTTTCGTAAATGCACCCCTTTCAGTTTCTCATTTCATCTACATTTCTTTTTCAGTTCTGCAACTGCAAAGTTGTCTATCTGTTGCATCTCTAAATGAATGATAAAATGCTGTCATATTGGACTAACAAACAGAAGGAATAACCATTATTTTAAACCCGACTGTATTTTATATTCTAGTTTATAACTTTTTACTTGACATCTTATTAAAAGCTGAAGTTTTATATTCACGTTATATTCAGCAGTTTTATTAATTTACTTAGGTTCAACAGTTATCCTGGTCCTGTTTAAGAATCACACTAGTACGTCGTTAAGTCCGTAAACTGCACTTGTTTCTTATCATTTTGAACTTCAAATGAAGTGACTTAATATTGAATTGTTAGTTCCAAGTGTTTTTTTAGTAATGCATGATCTGGACTAATGGATGTTTTGTTTTATTTTCTGTTCTGAACTTTCTTTTCCAGTGCCTGAATTGCAGGGGGAACCAGAAGAAATATCGAAAGAAAAGGCCCGATTGGCTGCAATTGAGGTACTGTTTCTTGATGACATTATTCCGTCGATTACTTTTCTTTAGCTGAGTTTATTTAATCTAGTTGTAATTCATGCGTCTCATGTTTAAAACTTTTCACTTAAGTCCTATGTAATTATGTTGTGGTCTTCTTTTTCTTATTTTTATAATACTTCTCATAACTTGTAAGGTAAACGGACCTGTGCTTGTCGAGGATACATGCCTGTGTTTTAATGCACTTAACGGTTTGCCAGGTAACCAAAATTTCCATTTCCCCCCTTGCTTTTTCCTGGTGTTGTGAACACATTGGATTAAAACTTCTTTGGTTTACTGTACAGGACCTTACATGTAAGTTATTTACCCATTTCCTTCCGACCTGCAAAACATTTCGCTGCTTTCTTGCCTAAAGAGGAAGCTTCTTCATTAGTCTCCCCTATCTGTGATGTGTTGTTTCCTGTTGATGATCGCTCCTATATGAAAGCAACTTTTCTAATAACCTGATGTTTTCATGTTCTGTGCAAATGATTTGACACCTGAATAACCAGAAAGTGGTTTCTGCAGAAGACTGGGCATGAAGGTTTTTCATATTGTGTTATTCTTCCCTTATTTCCTTAATGATGGGTTTTAAGGTGTTTTTCTGAGTTTCTTTTCTTCTTTACAGGTCTGAACAATTTACTGGCAGCTTATGAGGACAAATCAGCTTATGCTATGTGTGTTTTTTCTCTTGCTCTTGGGCCATCTGTAGAACCAATGGCATTTGTTGGTAAAACACAGGTACAGCCATTTCCTTATGAGTAAAAACTTCCCTTAAATTAAAGACAACAGTTGTAAGTTGACAATAAAAAAATTCTGTTATTTCTCTTAAATCAGGGGACTACTTAGTCTACTTTATATATCTACATAGTTTGCTAGCCCTTTAGGTTTGTTTTTCTTTTCTCATAATTATGTTTGACTATGGGTCTGATCCGCTTGCACATTCAACAGAAAACAGTTCTTGTATGGAACTAAGAATTTTTTCCCCATACATCAAGGTATTAATCTTGAAGATTTTAAGAAGCTTTAGTTTATATAGTTCACTATTACATAATTGGACCATTCTATATTAAGTTTAGATCTATAATATTTGAATCAAGATTGGCAATAGTAATGGAAAACTCTAGAGTTTGGGTGCTGAATGAGAGACAAGCAAGACATAACTAATTGATCATGGCAGGTTCTGCAATTTTCTCCAACATGACCTTACCTATGTTTAAGATTAATATCAACTGATCAGGCGTTCCATTATGGTCTTATAGACAAATATGAATCCATGATAAGTGAACTAAAATGTTTCTTTTTTATAGATGATGGACACCTTTTCATATAAATACATGTCCTGGTAATCACTTTGACTTGTTGAGCTGAATTTCAGTGGTAAGAGAAGCAGATGTATTCTTGCAGATGTACAACAGGTTTTCTTTTAGAATGTCCAGTGGTGTTCTTCAGAAGGTGTGACTTGGCGCATTATACACTTGCTAACTGCTAAGATCTTCAAATATACTTACTCTTAAAGATCTTTGCTTTGATGCAACGTCACAAATCACTAATATGGTGGTATTAAAGCATCAAAAATTACAAATTAATAGTAAACTTTATATCCCTTGGACAATTTAATGTATATAAAACACTTATGAAAAACATCGACTGCTACGTAGCATCCATTTGTAATATCTCCATGCCCATTCGTTGTACGCCTAGCCTAGGCACTTACTCTGACTGAGAATCTATATCTGAACTTTGATAATCACCGTTTCATTATAGATAAAACTAAGGTTTTTCAGCTGTATGACTGAGCAAAATTTCTATTACAAATAAATCTTCATATTTCATCTTACTATATATAACATAACCAAGCGCTTGTTGCTGCTCTACTGCAGGGTAAGATAGTTCCTGCAAGGGGCCCCACAGATTTTGGTTGGGATCCAATCTTTCAACCAGATGGATACGAACTGACGTAGGACTTCCATCTTGACACTGTATCTTTTTCAAGTTTCTCCACAATGAACCGCACAAATGAACAAATGTGATTGTCGTTGAATAAATGCAGGTATGCTGAAATGCCGAAGGAGGAGAAGAACAAGATATCGCACCGCTCAAGAGCTCTTGCAATGGTGAGAGCACATTTTGCGGAGGCAGGCTACAGATTCCAGACTGACGGATAACTAAAGAACTTAGGGTCTTTTAACCATATCGCATGGTACCAATCATCATGCTCATTGGTGGAACTAAGATCACAGAAGTTGCCCTGGTTTTCGGTTGTCCAGACTGAAGAACTGATTTCCATTTTCTAACGAGTTATCCAGTCGTTTATAGGCCATATATACCTTTCGTTGATGTGTTCCAACTGCTGTAAACCAGACCAGATGGATTTATGGTATTAATAGCTCATGTACCGTCTAGTTGTGGAGATGTTGGCGCTTGGCAAGATAACGTGAATACGATAAGCTGTTAGTTCGAGAAATTATTTTCTTTATGAAGCCAATATCTCAGTAAATGCCCGATATCTCAATACAAGCACATGTAACTACAAGTACATCTGCTATAATAAATGCAAAAGCCTGATATTTCAGTACAAACAGATGTAAACATGTACAACCACTAAAGTTGTACGTAACTGATACTTACATTGCAATTACGACCTGAAATGAACCAGACAGAACGTAGGAGAGAGATGAATGAATTCAATGTTTCTAAATTTGTCTCCATTACATCAGTACACAAGTAAATCAAAGGGTGCACAGTTATACAACATAAATTTCCCGGAACACAGAATATAGTGTTCTTTATCAGTTTCAATTGTGGAAAAGCTCCACAATGAAACTTAAAATTCCACCCACAGTTACTCAACTCTTCTCAACTTCATTTTGAGGGGCACTTCCTTGTAAGAATTCACCTTCTCAGCTGCCCTTCTCATTGGCCTCCCTATCAACGATCTTCTTCTCGACCCCTGATTTTGATTTCCAGGAGAAACACTTCGATCCTTCTCGGTTGAATCCTGAGTGCTGTCGAAGCATCGATCTTCCTGTGAGCGTAGTGCAAATTTTATGTCTTCTATCTCAAACAAGCTCTCACTTTGTTCAGAAAGCTCAGTTTTCATGTTACAAGCCCTCCTCAAAGATTTCCTGCTTCAAATTAAAACTTTCCATATTCAATACAGGAATAAAATGATGATAGCAACAGGAAATTAAGGGCAAATTACATAACTCCACGGATGATAGCAACAGGAGTAAATTAAGGGTAAAATTACATATCTCAAACAAGCCCTCTGTAGCACTTAGCAACCCTCAATTTATAAAGAAGATGTGGGTTATTTTCAATTTATCCTTCTCAAAATATCAATCCACGGATGATAAGTGTCAATAAAATAGTTGATGGATAATGAGTGCTACTGGATGTATAGATGAGGGGAATTATCTGCATATTAATATATATATGCATTACCTTCTGCCTTCATCCTTCTCCTTTGTCGTTTCTTGACGAGTTATACAGGTCGGCCCTAGAGCTGCAAACAAATATAGAGTTACTTATATACAGTGAGCACTTCAATGGATGCTTAGTATTATCGAAGCGGGATTCAACTTACATCGACTTCTCAGAGTGCGTTTTCTATCTATATCAGCTGGTTTTTTGCAGTAAGCTGGAGGAGGTGGATCTATCACAATTTCATTTGGCTTCAAGAGATTCTCCTTGCAAATTTAATGTTTAAAGATAAAGAAAATTAATAATCGGCTTGATACAAATTATCTCACTACAATCTGTTAGTACTCAGTATAATGGTTACCTCAGTGCCAATCTTTTCACCAAGCTTTTTGTATTGCTCGCTCAATTTCTTCTCCTCCTACAATTAGTCAGAAGTTGCAATGAGCTATAAAATTCAATTACAATAGTGCAAGAAATATAAAAATTATTTAGCTTTAACTAACCTGTAGTTCTGAAGTTCTAGCTCTGAGGACTGCAACTGTAGTTCCAAGTTCATGCTGCATTGCTTTTAGCTTTAAACCCGAAAAAACACGATATGTCAGAACTTATAAATAGTTTGATGGTCAGAATGAAGAAATTCTTTCTAACGAGACGCTAATTATTCTAATTTCAAATGAAATTGTGAAAATTATTGGAAACACCCTATAACATTTTCTCATCACACCAGTGAAGTTAGTTCCTAAGTAAATGTGACCAACCCAATCACCTGGAACTTTAATTTTGTGTTATAGTTACAAAAGTAAGCTCCCTATTTTACTAAGCTTTAAGAGATGTTTACAGTTTCAATCAACTAGAGCAAACTCGAGCTATAGATTTGGAAACCATGTCTGAATCGAAGATCCGAGAATAGAATATATTATGGCTTAAAAAAACATAGAATCAGTTAGCAATGCCCATTGCATCATATGTTTGATAGTTAAAATACAATTTCACTAAATAAACATGAAAATGCATTGCAAAAATGCAAGTAAGAGGGTGGAAAATTTTTCTCTGTTGCAATTAAGAGAGCGCAAACTGTGGAGAAATATACGATTTACAATAACGTAAATAAAGTCAAATACAATTTCAAAGAGTAAAACCAAGCAGATCTCCTATCTATTCTTAAGAGGTCAGTGGACTTACTCTGTCTTTACCCAAATTGAGCTCCTGTAAAACAAAAGAAACAAAAATATCAGAAATAGAAATAAAAATAAGATTTTTTAGTTGAATTTAGAGGGTAGAGAGACAACATACCGCTAACATGTGAGAATTAGCCTGAGCAAGCTGCCAGTTCTGCTGATTGGCCTTCTGTAAACTTATCTTAAGCTTTTGCAACTCCGTCCCAGTAATTTCTACGATTTTACTGTTAAAATTCAACCAAACAAAAAAAAAACCATAAAATTTTCTCTCCAAAATAAAAATACCCATTTGAAAAAGCACCGAAAGAGATAATCTTTACAACAATACGCATACTTTCTCTCATCAAGAAGCCTCAGAAGCGCATTATTTTCCTGAAATGGAAACGAAAATAACCCATTTTTTCAATAAAAAAAAAATTCAACAACTTTTAAAAGAAAAAAAGGAAATTGGAGAGGAATCAATAAATTCAAACCTTTAAAAGCATCTCAATGTAATCCTTTGCACTCTTAATGGGCCCTCCATTAGGGTTTTCTTGCTCGTTGACTTCGGATCTCTCGGATCTCCCGTTGCTGGTGATGTTGGTGATATCAGAGAATCTCTTTCTTCTCATCGCGCTCCCAGTCAAAGCCGCCATCTTTTGGTTCCTTCACCCAAATTAATTAGGAGGGGGGGGCAAAAAACTAACCCAAGAACTGAGAGGGGCCGGAGGTTAATTTTCCCAATTCCTTTGATGAGCGGAAAGAGGGAGAGGAGCCGGGAGAGAATGAGAGGAGGAATCGGACGAGAACTTAGCGTTCTGGTTTTGTTTCTTGAAGTGGGAGAAAGGGCATGAATTAAAACGTTGGCATAATAACGGGTAGGTGGGTAAGCGGGTAGGTTCGGGTGGATAACGGTTATCCGAGCCTGAGGTGTGTAACCCGAGGCTAAAATTTTAAACTTCGCTTGAGTGGGTTAATTCTACGGAACCCCCTTCAACTATCGGGGTGTGTCTTAGAAAACCCCCATCAGCTATCCCTCAGCTGTAGACAACGCCCCCGGCTTTGAAAATTCTACTCAACTCCCCTTTGAAAATTCTACTCAACTCCCCTTCAATTATGGAGTCGACTTTTTTAGATGGAAGTGGAGGAGCTATTTGAGGAATAAATTTGGAATATATTGTTGATTTTTTTTAAGAAATCAATAAATGTCAAGTTGGGTTAATTACACTTAAAACAGTTAATCTCAATATTATTAGATTATTACTATTAAATAATTCTCTTACCCTCTTAACCGTTCTGAAATTTTCATATTAACATGTATGTAATCTATTAACTGTTTTTTCATGGGATATAATCTATTAATTGTTGAAGTTTTAAAATTAATTAAAATGGAAGATATATTTAGAGACAGGACCAAAAATATGTGTGACAAATTAATTATTCTAATCAATTGAATGATAAATGTTAAAATGAGTACTTCTTTTTGGGCGCAAAATTCATGGGACCAATTGCGAGACAATGTGACCCTTCTTGCTTTAGGGGCTGTTTGGTTCGCTATTATAAGGGGTGGAAAACTCAGAAAACCTCTCCACGTCAGATTTTTAGCCCTCCACGTCAGCTTTTTTGTTTCCGTCCATTTCTTTGTGCCGCTTTGGTTCGCTCGAATGGAAGATGAAAAACTCTACTGAAATCGTCGCCAAGTAAGATTTTTTTCCCTCTCCGTTTTTCTTCCCCAACCAAGTGAAATTGATGAAAACTCTGCCACGTCAGATTTGTTTCCTTCTCTGCTTTGTTTACAAAAGTTTTTATTTTTTTCCTATGCGAACCAAACACAAGAAAAATAAATATATAGGTTTCCTACCATTTTTTATGTGCGAACCAAAGCAAAACAATCTATTTCTTGGAAAAGTTTGGAAAACTCAAAACTTGTGTTTCTTTACATGGAATTGCATTTCTCTATATCAAGGAAACGAACCAAACAACCCCTTATTGTAATTCTAAAGAGTTATGCTACAAGGACCCAAAATATGGGACCAATAAGGGGGACAAGTGAGATGTCTCATTTCTATTGAATAATGAGTTGACCATCATTAATGATGACCAACTCATTATCTAATAAGAGGGTGACACCTCACTTGTCCTCCCTATTAGTCCCATATTTTGGGTTTTTGAGGAATTTTTCTTCTAATAAAGATTAATGACTATTATAGAGAGAGAAATCACTTATCTCGTAACTGGTCCCAAATTAATTTCTATTTTAAAATACTTGTATAATTTATGAAATGTATCCCAAAAGTGAGAATAACTCATTGTAAAAGTTACCACGCCTCCTCGTCCTCCCCCTTCTTTTCTCTTTAACCCCTCCGCTTCTATAATCTCTCCTTCACCTCTGTCGGCGCCCTGCTCACTTGTCCGGGGTACCCCCGAACCCTAACCCTAGCTCTTGAAGCCATCCTTATTCCTGTAATTCTCTTAAATTTTCGATTTTGCACGGTTTCCTTTCGATGAGCATGGCAGAATCCAGCGGATTGAGAGGGTTTTGAACATGCACAGAAGCTGTTCGATAAAATGCTTAAGAGGAAATTTTAGTTTGGTGACATGTGGATTTTATCGAGCTAGAACATCGAGGTATTGCTGCTAAGGCGTTCGAGAGAATTACTGCAACCGCAAAAACTTTTCTTGTTAATGCATTTCATTTTGCCACCTTCTTATTAATCTATATACTATTACTAAAAACTCTTACCCTTCAAAACGCCACGTGGCAATTTCATATTTTTTTAAAATTTTCTAAGCAAAATTTAATCAGCAAATTGAATCCGTGCACCGCAATTAAAGCTTCGTTCCAGACTTTTCACCTTTCTTCATTTCCAAAGCTCACCTGTTCGTATTCGCCTCCTAGACTTTTCCCCTTTCTCTCATCTCTATAGCTCCTCTCTCTCCCTCCCACAAAACTCTGAGTTCAACCTTCTCATCTTCCCAAGTCCTCCGCCAGGTCGCTCTCAATCCAAATCCTAATCCTTTTGGGGCCGCTAAAATTTCTAACTTTTGATGTTTTCTTCTTTAGGGATTCTGTCGCAGGTGGAGTTTTATTTCAGTGACAGCAATCTTCCGAGGGACAAGTTCTTGAAGCAAAAGGTTGAAGCGGGCGAAGATGGATGTATGCTTTGTTTGCTTCAACATCAAATTTTTTCTTTTAAAGCTTATTTTTTCATTCTAATCCTGGTATGTTTTTTGTTGTGGTGAGTTTGGGTTTGATATGTTCCTTTGCTCGGATGAGAACCCATCTTGGATTGGGTGAGGTGAAGTAGGAGGCGGTGCCGGAGGATAAAGTGTTGGCGGTGGCGGAGACATTGAGGAAGTCTAACGTAAAAGTGTCTGAAGATGGTGAGTTTTTTGGTTCTTAATTTTCTATTCTTTATTTAATTTGTTGGGATTTATCGTAGTTATTTTTCTCGTGCTTAAAAAGTTGAAACTTTTGATTGATACTTCTGAAATTGGGTTTGTTTTGATTCACCTTATCTATTATTTTAGAAATAGATTGATTTCTGTGGGCATTATTTGTGTTCGTAGATGTTAGAATATAAAACGCTTGACCGGTGGGATTGCTACTCTCTGGAGTTGTGGTGAGATTGAGGGTCATAATTTTACACTGTAGCCGCGCAACTCTGCACACTGTAGCCGAGCAACTCTGTGGGCACTGAGTTCTTTTGGTTGCAAATTTGGGATTTTTTGGGTATAAGAATGCTTGAGCTGCATAATTTGGCTGTTTTCATCCTACAAGCTGGTATCTTTTAGCATAAACCTCAACAAGATGGAGACGTTAGAGTCTCTTGATTCGACAAGTTGGTACTTTTTTTACGAGACTGCCTTAATCGCAACATGGTAATGCACTGAGCTGGGGGCAAAGTGACTGGCATTACCTTATTCGTATCCGTTTACTATTTATGAATGCGGATATTGATGAAGAAATTCATTTGTAACCCATATAACTAGAAAGGGGACGGATCAATTTTGAGGGAACAAACATGGATATGGTTCGAATATAAGAACAATTAATTGATACTTTCATAGATGAAGATTGGTAACATGCCTTTTTGATCTGTAGCTTTTTGAACACCTTCCTTAATGTAATATCATTTTTTAATGCTGTTAATATGTATATAGTTTGGGTAATGATTAGTGTTATGAATATTTTAGCTTCATGTTTTCTAAGCTTTAGACGTGTGTGTGGAGAGCATTTGTTGTAAATGACTTGGGTTTCGTGTAGGATTCAATACTCAAAATTTTGAATAGAAGATATAGATGACTTGGGTCTTCATGCAGGATTCAATGTGGAGACTGTTGAGTTCAAGAACATTAGCTTCATTGTTTGGGATGTCGGGGGTCAGGATAAGGTATTCAGTTTACATGCTTATTTATATAATTGGTGAAGCTTGGACGTTTGCATACTTTACATTGACTTACGAAACCCAAATAGATGGATTTTTTTTTGTTTTATTTTAGCTTTATCATAATTCGATTGTTTGAATTTTATGTTCATTTTAACTAAACATAGGATGTGGAGCATATGAAGCTTCACTGACATTGTAATTTTCAAATGTCTAACAACAGATCAGACCTTTGTAGAGGCATTACTTCCAGAATACACGGTCTTATTTTTGTCGTTGACAGCGATGACAGAGATCGTGTTTTTGAGCCAAGGGATGAGCTTCACAGGATGTTGAATGAGGTTATATATTTCCTCCTTATATGTTGAAAGTTGAGCAGTGGTTATTAGACCGTTTAGCTATATACTAAATTATTCATTTTTGAATTTGCATTTCAAACTTTTCAACTGTCTGTGCAACTTTTATGGTAATTAGGGGTGGATTATGTTGATTAATTATTATGATGCTAAAAAGCAGCCAGCGAAATTGCTATGTTGTTTGTGGATCCTAAATATCTAATTTCAACATTGTTATTTGATAGTCTCTGTAACCAATTTCCAGAAACCATTTCATCTCACCAATCTCTTTGATCTTTTTGTTTTTTTTTGTCTTTCCAAAGTAAATTAAAATATTTGATCTTTTTAGCCAATTTCTGTAATAGAAATCCGGTCCAATTCTTTCTTTGGGAGTATTTTAATTAGTGACAAGCAAGATAAGCTATCTAAAACTACACACATTATAGAGTATTCAAAGAGACCTTCCAGAATTTAATCATAGGTATGCAGGTAAGTAATAGTCTTCTTATTTAATCCTTTTTCTATAATTCAATGAAAATGTTATGTTATTGCATAGGTTTGTAAAACATTGTAGGAGCTTGAAGCCCACAATTGGAGTCCGTGAATCACAACTGCATAACTAAATTTGTAAATTTACGCTTTTATCAATTCACTTTATATTTTGATGAATGAGTCAGAATATTCTTTTCGCACATCAATTCGCATAATGAGCTTGGCGCTTTGCTAAGCACTCTGCATGGATTCAATAAAGGAAAATAAGTTTCCTTTTCAATTTTTTGTGATTGTATGTTGTTTGGGAATTTTTTATTGAAATGGGCTTATTTTTTTAAAAAAATAGTACATGGAGTCCTTTTGTTCAAAGCATGTGGAAGTTCTTAAGTGTGTGTAGGCTGAGATAACATTTAAGGTGACTACAGAGGTTGCTGAGAGAGGATTGTTTCTATAAGATGGAGAGTGAAGTAATTTGATTTATTCCTAGAAAAGGGTATGTTGTTTCATCCATTAGTTGTAAGTTTGTGTTATATTTTTTCTGTATAGATGTCTTTTCTTGCTCATTTGGAGTTAAATCCCTAGAAATTATTTAGTTTTTTGTATTTATTTTAAAGTTAATCTGAACTTGAATACCACATTTATTTTTACATAATCAAAATTAAACTTATGAGAACTTTGGGATCTTTTTGGGCAAAAAGTAAGTTTGGGGTATTGAGGTTCAATTGGTATAAACTTTGTGATATTAAAGTGAAATAACCCTTTGTTTTATTTTAGTTCCTTCTATCACGACTTGAGAACAGTAATTATATCCTATTAGATTATGTTTAATTATATTAATGCTCTTTTTCTTGCAAGCAAATTAACTATTTTTGTCGATAAAAATCCTTTAAAAAAAATCATATTTTGAGGCAATCATTTTTCATTGGATACCTTATATCTAATTTCAGAAAATTTAGGGGAAAAATCATATTAATGCTCTTTTTCTTGCAAGCAAATTAACTATTTTTATCTTTAACAAATCATCATAGACTATATACGTTTCGCTCATCTGTTAGAATTATAAGTAGATATAGTAGTTTAATATATTTTGTCTAGAGAGTTTTTTTCCTTTCCTTTTTTAACTTTGTAATAATAAATGTAATTGACTCAATTGTTATACACTAAATATCCTGAAATTTGAAAATACCTTGGGCTCTTTTTTTTAAAATTATCTGAACTTTTTTATCTTTAACAAACCATCATAGACTATATACGTTTTGCTCATCTGTTAGAACTATATAAGTAGATATAGTAGTTTAATATATTTTGTCTAGAGAGTTTTTTTTCCTTTCCTTTTTTAACTTTGTAATAATAAATGTAATTGACTCAATTGTTATACACTAAATATCCTGAAATTTGAAAATTCCTATCATATAGTAAACTTTTACTAATTGGAAATTAGTATATATCTTGCAATATCTTATTTTATGTAAGCAAATATGTGCACAAATACCAATTGGAATTACTTGCGGAAAGTACTAATTTCATGATACGTATAAAATCGATAATGCAATTGCTAAAGGAAAATTTTAAGCTTATAGGCTACAAGTCATATGATAACTTAGAAAATGATATTTGGCCAAGATGCATTTGCATCTATTAGCTTAATTTTTATATTGATAGACTCTATAGCATATGGGACATTATAGATGTTAATGTAATTAATGTTGGTAGACATTATAATGTAAGAATTATTGTAGATGTAATGGGTATGTGTATAAAAAGAATGTTTTTTATATGCAAGATTCATTTCTATGTTGCTATGTTCATTATCAATGATTCGATCGGTACTTAGGTGATCTGCTCTAATTCCCTATGCATCCCTGTTTTATGTTCATTTACTTTATGTTCAGAAGGTTATATGTCTTGGTATGTCCTATCTTATTGTTTTTGCCTTTCCTATGACCATAAAACCCCGGTGAAACAGTAAGAGACATGGCGAGTTGCTGGAGATCAACAACTTGATGCTATTTAGTTGAGGTCAGTTCTTTGGTGAATGGAAAGGTTTTTTGAGTTCTATATTTTGTTGCTAAATGTTGCTATTTTTGCCTTTTATTGGGTGTGAGTATGTTAGGAGTTGTTTTGATAGGTCTTTGATGTATACAACTAGGGAGTTTTATGTTTCTTTGGTGTGATGTAAAGAGATATATTGTTCATTTTATTCTTTGGTTGGGGATGTTGGTGATTACCAGTAAGTAGATTGTAATCACCTATTTATTTCAAGAATGTATTGCTCGGCTGGGGTATTCTTTGAAGACCCCATCCTTTCTCTTAAGAAAACGTGGTGAAAGCTATTCGTACATGTGAAGAGCTTGACTTCATAATGATTAATTGATGCTAGACAATTTTCTATGTTGATTTTAAGGTTGTCCCTACTTGATCTGTATTTTCTTGAATACATTTTGTGCTTGCTGAACCAATTTCTATGGACAGTTATCAACGATTTAAATATTAATATGATTCGCACAAAATTTTCAAATATTATTTTCCTATGTTTACATTTTTCCAAACCTTTCATTTTTTCAATTTTTTAAAGTTTCCCCACTTTTGTTACTTTTTTGACATTTCACTTTAATTTTGAATTTTTTTCTACCTTTTAATAATAAAATAACCCCCACCATATTTTTGAATATCGTTTTTACACATTTACATTTTTCAAACTATATATATAATCTTAAACTGATTCAAAATTTTCAAACTTTCTAATTTTTTAAACTATATATATAACTTATGTTGTATCATTTCTGACTACTTATATATTATTATTGTTTTATTTTGTATTCTTTTGTTACATCATTTTTTGTATATTAGACAAATCCGTGCATCGCACGGGCCTGAAACTAGTGAAAACTAAAAACCCTCAACTAGACTTCTCTGGGCTGATGAATGTTATAGTCATTCATTAGCTCTAATTCATAGCAGCTTCCAAAACTTTATAAGTTTTTTTATATAATAATATTCCATATGATTTTGATTTCCTAATTATAGCATCTCAAAATTGCAGGAAATGAAGCATTTGCTGCGTTACTTCGTGTTGCCAATAAATACTAGCAAACATGCAAAGTGCATCAGAGCATCTTGAAAGCTACGACCTGGGGGAAAAACCTGCAACCCCTCCCTCAGGTGACTACACCACTGTTACTTTCAAAGAGATACAATTTTATTTTTCAAAAGTGATCCGGTAAAAAGTTTACTAAAACACAACAAATTTTGAAATAACCGGCATGTGTATGAACTATTTACAAAATAAATTTGTAAGAGACATTCGTTAATTAACCTGTCGTGCAGAAACGTTAGAGTATAAAATTAAAATTCTCAATTCTCAGCATATTGTTGCAGTTTGGATGTAGCAAAAAAGGGTTTGTAATATAAAGAAAATTTTAAATGATACTAGACCAATCCGGGTCAAAATCACATTGAACATGCATTTAAAATTTCAGGCTTTAATTTTGTCCATTAAAAAGACGTTCAATCTGTAACAAACATGTTAGTATACAACATGATACAATCAAACTTCTACAGTGCATATGGAAGTAAACCCTGTTCCTCTAAAAAAAATAAGGAAACAATGTCAACGTTTGATATGATAAGATACAATCACATGATAAACGATGAGAAACACAAGATTACTACGTGTTCTTCGACTAAATGAAAATGTAAAATTTGTGCCAAATCACTTTAATTCAATAATTAAAACATAAATACCCTGAAAAATCCATTAAACCCCCTCCTCCTCCTCAGCTTTCATCAGCACAGCCTCATCCCTCACACTCCCACTCCTACCTCCATCCTTTCCCTTGTACCTCATCGCCACAACCAAATACACCACGAAGCTCACCCCATTGATCCCACACAAAACCCAGTAAAACAAGTCCAACCTGCTCTCATCCAACCTATTCCTCAACCACCCTCTCTCCTCTCCTCCTGTTGTCCCCTCCACGATCTTCACCAGCGCCGTACTCAGCCAGCTCCCGATCCCAAACTCGCTCAAAAACATGGCACTGCACAGGCTCCTCGTCCCGTCCGTCGCCTCGTCGTAGAAAAACTCCAGCTGCCCGACGTACGTAAACACTTCCGCGGCGCCCATGAGGAAGAACTGCGGGAACAGCCAGAACACGCTCAACGGTTTAGGACCTGAATTTGAAGTTGAATTGTCTCGGCGGTGTTTTTCAACCAAGGCAGCGGAGAGAAAGGCGAAGATGGCGATGAAGAGGCCGACACCCATGCGCTGGAGAGAGCTGATGCGTTTGTTTTTTGTTTCCCGCCGGCGTGCGCCAGTGAGGTTGCGGAGGAGGGGGACGGCGAGGGACTCGTAGAGGGGGACGAGGAGGAGGGGGACGAGGGCCCCGAAGACGGGGACGGAGCCCGTGGGAATGGTGAAGGTAGAGAGGGTGCGGTTCATGAGGGAGGATTGGGAGATGAAGAAGGTGGACATTTGGGCGAAGGAGAGGGAGAGGGAGATCGTTGTGGCCCAGATTGGGAGGACTCTGATGAAGCATTTGAGCTCTTCGACTTGTGTCACCGTGCACAGCCTCCATCTGCTGGGCTTTGTTGCGGTGGTGGTGTTGGGCTCTGCTATGACTGCTGCCTTGTCCAAGAATCTGAAAGCAGTGAGGAGATATAGGTCAAAAGTCTTTTTTTTGAACAGTTTAGGATTGCTTCCAAAAGTCTCTCGTTCTTGGTTATGGACAAATCCTACAACGGTTTGAGTCTGTTTTGAAAATTTCTTCGTATTCAAATCTATGTGGTCAAGCTTTGAGTACAAAATTTTATCAGAACACCCCATGTGTGCGAGCGTGATGTAGTACGCCAATGAAAAAGTTATTAGTACGCCAATGAAAAAGTTATTACGGATAATTTGGAATCTATTATCTATATATCTCAGGTTGTATGAGGAATGTTTTGATAAGATCTGTATCGCCAAAATCCGAAATTTCTTACCTGTACTGATTAGTGTGTCTCAATTTCCTTGCACCAACAATATCAGACTCCTTACCCTTCACCTCATACAACTCCCCTCCCCTCACAGCCCCCTTCAAATGATTCCTACAAGCAGCAACCAATACCTGCAGAAACCTGGTAAACGGACTCCCCATCGGCCTCTGGAACCTATAGACCCTAAACCCCGCCGCAATCACCGCTATCGAAACCACCGTCATCGCCGCCGGAACTCCAAACCCCCAGCCCCACCCTCTCTCTTCCTGCACATAAACCATCACCGTGATGCCGAGGAGCACTCCCATGTTGATGGCGAAGAAGAACCAGTTGAAGAAGGACGACTTCATGGCAGATTCTTTGGGGTCGGACTCGTCGAATTGGTCAGCGCCAAAAGATGAGACGCAGGGTTTGATGCCGCCGGTGCCGAGGGCGATGAGGGAGAGGGAGATGTAGAGGAATGCGTTTTGTTTGGAGGTTGCGGGTTGGCCAAGGGGAGGGCGGAGGCCGTCGTGGGAGGCGGAGACTGTTAGGAGGGCCATTCCCTGTTAAAATTTGGAAGAGTGAACGAGTTATGGGAGCTTATACCAAAATTTGCAGATTCAGATCCTCTTTACTATAAAAAAAATAGTGGAGAAACAACTTCTTAATTTAGGAATGAGTGTCATTCATGAGGAGCATGGTGATTGCTAGATTTGGATTGAATTACAACCACCCATTAAACACGTCAATGACAATCATATAAGAAGTGGTCTCTCACTACTTTTTACAGTGCATGCGTAGGCTCCAAATCCCGGAAATAAATCCAGGCATCCGTAATTTTTTCAACAACCCCCCTAACAGCATAATGGGGGTTTTCTGAAAATATTGTCGATGTCCAAATGATGATAGTTTGGGTGGGTTTTCTAAAAATAATGTTGAAAGTTTGCGTTTTCTAAACATTATGTTGACTTTTTTTGGAGGTTTTCTGAAAATAACGCTGAAAAGGTTGGAACTTTTGATGGTTTTCTGAACTCAGGTGATCTTATGCACTAGTTTAGAGGGTTATGATTTAGTTTTCTCCCGTCCCTTTTGAAGTAACAGAAAGAAGAAAAATGTGAATCATACCACGGCGTAGATGCAAGAAAAGACCACGATAGTCAGGAACCGGCCAAGATACGCATCCGCAAGAAACGCTCCCAGGATGGTCAGTATAAATGCTGCTCCGACCCAATCGTTAACGTGCGTCGCTGCGTCTGGCAACGACTGGTGCATCTCCTTCACAAGGTACGTCACCATGCTCACCGCTATCGCATAAAACGCCATCCTCTCCGCAACCTCGTTCACTAACATTCACAAAAATATCGTTATAGTTATACGGATAGATAGACGGACAGACAGATAGACGGGCAGAAGTGTCGGAAGTTTCGTATACCGATAATGAACGGAGAGGCTTTCCATCCTCCAGTCATGGCCTTAACGGCGATCCTGCCACGAAAATCAACGGATCCATTGGTCACCAACGCTGATGAAGTTGTCATGTCTCCGAAAGTTTTGGAGTCTCCTTCTGTCCCCATTTTTGATAAGGTACTCTTCAATGTTTCTCAGGGGGAGAGGTTGCTTGTGATATAAAGGAGGTGATGCATCACAATGGGATATCCTAGTGTTGCTGTCTCAAAGCACCGTGATGTCCTTGGACTTAGTCCGAGCGCTCGAGGATTATTCATTGGGACATCTTGGGGCAAGTGCAATTATGCCAGGCTTCACTTTAAGGTGTTTATTGGATTCGGATCCTCTCCACTACAAAAAAAATAGTGGAGGGACCACTACATAATCACATCCATTGATTATCTAGTTGATGGTTATGATTTTTTCTTTTAGTGCAAATTAGGAATGAGTGCAATACACGGTGGTATGGTAAGTGTTAGATTTAGATTGTATCATAACCGCCTACTAAATAATCAACGCTTGAGATTAAAAGTAGTGGTCTCTCCACTACTTTTTTGTAGTGGAGAGGATCCAAATCCGTGTTTATTTGTTTTATTTAAATCTGTCGCAGTTCTAGTTTCAAATTATCTTATTATCCCAACTTGCTTCACTTTATCCCGCTCAAATTGTAGCGATAGGTTAGGATACGAGTGGTTTCAAGGGATCGTTTGGTCCGTGCCTGACGTATGCAGGGGATATTAGCCGGCTTGATATGGTTTAGGACAAACATGTAATTTTGTTAACGCACTTTTTCTTTGATATTAAAAAGATAAAGAGCCATGTCCAAATGGTATCAAACGGTTGGAATTTGAGGCTAAGGTGTCCATTTGGTTGCCTGTGATCTCAAGTCCAGGATTTTTGAGATGGGTGTTCTTGAGATCGATGCAGCTATTTGTTTTCTTGCCATTGATAGTTTCGGAAAAATGAAGCGCGTGTAGCTAATTATTTTATTTTCATGTATCCGGTTGGCTGCATGATCATTCTTGATTTTGATGGAGGAAAATAGTCAATCATTGCCACATGTACAAGTTTTAAGTTTTCATACTTTTTTATTTATGACAAGTTCATCTGTTGCAGGTAGTTTTCAATAGTATTATGATTCGTATATTAGGCCTGCCATCTGATTCTTAATAAGAAGCGTCAAATTCATCATTTACAATAGCAAACTTGAAAATTGCGTTAGTTTCTCTTTCGTTTGGAATTCAATTTAATTCGCTAGGCATATCGAGGCTGATTTGATGGACCAATGCCAAAAGCCTCTCTTATCTAGAATAGTGTTGGTTCCTTGAAAATTTACAGTTGCGGATTTGTAAATTGAGTAAATAAGGGCCGAGATGTTACTCCAAAATGTTTGTTTTTGACATAGCATGCATCTATACTATTAGTTGTGCTATCGCTAAATATATTGATGATCTTGAATGCAATAAATTGAGTGTGTGTCATGTCAGCGAACACATCAGTTAACGCCCCCATATGAACACAATAGTCTTTTTCTTACTCTTACAAATCGAAACTCACAAACTTAATATTTATGGTTTAAAAATCTTAAGCCAAATGTATTTTCAGTTGGATGTATGTGCACATTTTGGGTTGGGATGTGCACATTATATGTAACAACCAGTTTATTAATTTAGCTGGCTGGATTACTGTATTGTAATCCATCATTTTTCTTAAAAAGAAAAAAGAAATCTTAAGCCAAACTTCTCATGAGTTGTCATGAGAAACATGCATGTATGTAGAATTACGGTGTCGGCCTTGGTCGATCGTTTGAGGTATCAAACCCCATATAACATTATTATATAGTAACTTAAATGTCCGAGAGTTGCCGCTAGAAGCAATTGGCATAATGCCACTACGCTTGACTTATTATAAGATTGAAAAAAAAACTATATCAACTTAGTGTTTCTAAATTAGTTAGAGCAAGAATTACACTTCAAATTCGAACTCATGAATCATGAATCCAAATCCTCTCCACTGGAACTTATAAATATTAGAGATAAAGTGTTATTTTTAATTTGCCCGGAATGGTGAAAATATAAATAGCGCAGTTCATAAGACATTAATGAGAATTAGATATGAATCTATTACTTAATGGCTAAATGACACTTAAATACCAACTAAATTACCAGATTGATATTAAAAGTAATACCCAAAGATTAGATTAGTATTAAAATTATTTCTGGTGACAACAAGGTTATTTGAACTTGCATGTCGAGGCAAATAGGCTCAAAAATAAATTTTCAGGCTAACTTTTCAGGCAATCACTCATATTATCTACCACGTAATGCTTATGTGGCATATTATGATGACGTGGCAGCTATAGTTAGCCTCATTCAAACTATTAGAGAGGATTTTTTTAATTAGTGTAAAATAAAAGAGGAAGTTTTTAGTTTGAGGGCTTCTTCTGCTTTTTCTATTAAGTTGGAGGTTCTTCATTGCTGGAGAACATGGATTTTTTGAGCTCAAGCAATGAAGAACCTCCAATTTGAAGGAAGAAAGAGAATAAGTCAAGATTAAATAATTACATTTTTACTTTTATCTTAATTTAAAAACCCTCATTCTAATGGGTTGGATGAGGTTAATTATAGTTGTCATCTCATCATAAATATGTCACCTAAGAACATGTGGCAGATTATTTGAGTGGTTGGGGGGGAATAGCTAGAAAAATTATTTTTTCAGCCTATTTGTTGACGCAGCGCGGAAGTTGTAACCTCGGAATCCACCAAGGGTGTTCTCTGAATCCACAAAGAACGATCTTCGAATCCACGAAGAGCTTCGAATCCACGAAGAAATATTGAGGAAAAACAAAATTTTATTAATCAAAAGTTATGCCTCTAGGGCTTACAAGACTCTTCTTAAATAGAAAAAGAAACAAGACTCCTACAAGGACTCTAATTCCTACAAGGACTCTGAACTTACCAAAAATAGTAAAGAATTCCTAAAACATTAAAACTCCTAAAAAGAATCTTTATGAATAGGAAAGTCCACCGGTCAAATCTGAGATCAAATCAGATTTATTTCCTAAACAAAACAGACTCCTAAATTATTACTAAAAATAGTAAAAACGGACAAAATTATAATTATCTCTCAAACCGTAAGGAATTTGGCAAAACTGAGAACGCAAACCGAATCCTAAGGGGTCGGTTCGGATGGCTCTGTCTCGTCGAGATAGTCGATTTTCATATATAATTCGTCCAATTCCGACGTACGGTTTGAAAGTTACGGCCGTTTCTTCGAAACACGTTATTTTCTTCGACCAGATCCGCATTTGCGACTGTCCCACTTTGACATAAACATGTCTGCTGTGTGTTCTACATCAGTCCCCCCTGCTTGAAAAGAGCTCGACCCCGAGCTTACACTTGCATGAACAGCTGTTTCTGGTGGGTAATACTCAAACAAATCTGCAACATTAAAACTAGGAGAAATACCCAAATCTGTAGGAAGGTCAACCACATAAGCGTTGTCGCTAATCTTCTTCAGTATTTTGCATGGACCATACTTCTTATTCTTCAGCTTGTTGTAAGTACCCACGGGAAAACGTTCTTTTCGCAGAAACACCATCACCATGTCTCCTTCTTCAAACACCTTCCTCCTTCTGTGTTGATCAGCTTCGGCTTTATACTTAGCATTAGACTGCTCTATCTTCTCCTTCACCTCCTGCTGAATAGCACGTATCTTTTCAACCATATGATCTGCAGGAACACTCTGTCCAGGAAGTTTAGGCAGCGGGGCTAGATCAAGATAGTGATTCGGAAGCCTTCCATACACAATTGTAAAGGGTGCCTTGCATGTAGTCCGACTCTCCATACAGTTGTAGGCAAATTCAGCATGTGCCAAAGCAAGATCCCATTGTTTTGGTCGATCGCCAGAAATAGATCTAAGAAGATTGCCGAGGGTGCGATTGACCACTTCAGTTTGGCCATCCGTTTGGGGGTGATAGGCAGTACTGAACTTGAGAGAAGTGTTGAATCTCTGCCACAAAGTCTTCCAAAAGTGTGATAAGAACTTGGAATCTCTATCGGATGTGATGGACTTTGGCACTCCATGAAGACGAACTATCTCCCGAAAGAAAAGATTGGCAATGTTGCTCGCATCCGCAGTCTTCTTGCATGGAATAAAGTGCGCCATCTTTGAAAACCTATCAACCACAACAAAAATAGAATCCATACCTCGTTGGGTTCTAGGCAGCCCCAACACAAAGTCCATGGAAATATCATGCCACGGCGCATCAGGAACTGGTAAGGGTGTATACAATCCTGTATTCTGAGACTGTCCCTTAGCAACTTGACAAATTGGACAACGCCGCACATATCTTTCTGCTCCATTCTTCAACTGAGGCCAATAATATCGTTCTTCAATGGCTGCAATTGTTTTATCACGTCCCAAATGTCCTCCTAGTCCGCCAGCATGAAGGTCTCGAATTATCTGTTCTCTTAGTGAACTCTGGGGTATGCACAATTGATCGTCATGAAATAGATAACCATCCTGAATATGAAAGCCTTTGACTAATTTATTTTGAAGACAACCATCCCAAATCTTCTTAAAATCTTCATCCTCTGCATACAGCTCCTTAAGGTACTCAAACACAATCACTTCAGCCTTCAAAGTTACCAACAATCCAGTTCTCCTACTGAGTGCATCTGCAACCTTATTCTGTTGCCCAGATTTATGCTTCAAAACAAAGGTGAAACGCTGTAAATATGCAATCCAGCGAGCATGCATACGGTTGATGGTAGTCTTACTATTAAGGGTCTTCAAAGCCTGATGATCAGTGTGAAGCAGAAACTCTCTCGAGATCAAATAGTGCTCCCAATGCTTCAAAGACTGAACTATGACATATAACTCCAGCTCATATGTGGTCCACTTCTGCCGAGCTTCACTGAGTTTCTCACTGTAAAAGGCAACTGGACGCCCTTCCTGAGATAAAACACCACCAATTCCTATGATGGACGCATCACAATCAACTTCAAAGACTTTTTGAAAATCCGGAAGTGCAAGCACAGGTACGGTGGACAACTTCTCCTTGATCAGTGCAAAGCTATGATCTGCATCTTTCCCCCAATTGAACTTTCCTTTCTTCATGCATTCAGTTATAGGTGCTACAATGCTGCTGAAATTTCTTACAAATCTCCTATAGAATGTTGCTAGGCCATGAAAACTACGAACTTCGCTGACAGTCTTCGGGGTAGGCCAATCTCTAATAGCACGAACCTTCTCTTCATCAACATGAATACCCTCTGCACTAACAACAAAGCCTAGAAACACGAGGCTACTGGTCATGAAGTTGCACTTCTTCAGATTGATGTACAACTTGTTCTCCTGCAAAACTGTTAGTACCTCCCTCAAGTGGTCTAGATGTGCAGTCTCACTCTGGCTATAAATCAGGATATCATCAAAGTAAACTACGACGAACTTGCCGATAAAGGGTTTCAATACCTGATTCATCAATCACATAAAAGTGCTAGGGGCATTAGAAAGACCAAAAGGCATGACTAACTACTCGTACATGCCTTCTTTTGTCTTGAAAACAGTCTTCCACTCATCTCCTTCCCTAATCTGAATCTGATGATAGCCGTTCTTGAGATCTATCTTGGAGAACACTTTTGAACTGTTTTCGCCAAAAGTCGGTTTTGTTGTCGAATTCATTATATCTTCGATCGATTACAATAAATTCAAAGAAAACAACCTTTTTATAAGACTCTTTTACACAACAAAAAGAAAATTACAACTCTTGAGAAAATAAACGCAGGATCGTTGTTTGGATCACTGCTTTCGTGGGATCTTTGCCTGTGCCGAGAGCGCTTTGACTCGTGGACCACCAAGTCACAGATTTTGATTGAACCGTGAGGGGTTTATGATTCT